CCATCTGGGCAGCCCAGAAATACCATTGAAAGTTTGGCAATCATAGGCCTCCCCTATCAAATGGTAGGTATAGCAGAGAGAGTCTGAGTCTCGTTCTCCTATTATTCCAGATAAATTTGGCAAGACGCTTCTTAATCCTAGAAAAGAATGAAGGTGGGGGGGACAACGGAATTGATTGAAAGGCACATAAAAAACTAGGTAGAATGGACATCTTTATACAGTTTATCCGACCTATTAGAGATGGACGCATTGTTGTCCATCTTGCAACATAATCTGATAATTCGTTGATCATGGGGTTGTAATTAGCCGCAATAAGGTTATCTATTTTTGGGTTAATTTTAATGCCTAAATATTTAAATCCTTCCTTGGCATTAATAAAAGGGTGGGACACCTTGGGCGTTATTCTTTCTTGTTCATTAAGGAACATAATGTGTGATTTATCTTTATTGATTTTTAGTCCTGACAAGTTGCCAAACCTATCAAGAAGATCCAACAATGCTGTTATTGATTCTGATAGCTGAGTTTGAAATAAAACCATATCATCAGCATACATAGCTAATTTATGTTCAGTCCCCGATATTTCTATCCCATGTATTTTAGAATGAGCTCATATTCCCAATGCAAGAGGTTCCATTGCTATTATAAACAGTAGTGGGAAAATAGGGGAGCCTTGTCTCGTACCACGAGTCATCTTAAAGGATTGAGATATATAATTATTAGTAGTTATTGAAGCAGAGGAGTCTGTTAATATAACTGATATCCATCTTCTGAAACACTCACCAAATCCAAAGCGCTCAAGTATCACTAGTAGGTACGACCATTCTATTCGGTCGAATGCTTTTTCCGCATCCCGAGATAAAATGGCTGAATCTGGAGTTTCATCTTCTATATACATCAAATTGAGGAGCCGCCTGATATTACGAAATCCAAATCGATTAGGTATAAACCCATTCTGGTCTGCATGTATAATAGAGGGTAGTACTGCTTCCAGTCTCATGGCCAGTACTTTAGCTAAAATCTTTGCATCTGAGTTCAATAGTGCAATGGGTCTATATGAACCCCTCTCCTTTGGATCTTTATCTGCTTTTTTGAATAGCCTGATCATGGCAATACGCAGAGAGGCCTCCCTCTGCAGCCGGCTTTGAACGATTCCACAAATACCTCCAACAGAGGCATAATCAATTTTTCTTTAAAAAACTTGTATATATCTATAGGGATCCCATCTGGACCGGCCACCTTACCTCCCTTTAGACCAGCAATGGCCAGTGAGATTTCTTCCCGATCTAGTTCTTTAAGTCAGATTTAGCTTCCTCTGAAACTTTAATTCCCTCCAGAAAATTATTTACCATGTCAGATTAGTTTAGCCTTCTGATGTGTAGAGGTGTTTATAAAACACCACAAAAGCGTTGTTAATTTCTATGGGGTCATTTGTGGTCACTCCTTAGTTATTTGTAATTGTGTTAATAGCCCTCTCAGATTCTAACTTCTTAATTTGCCAGGATAATAATTTACCAGGTTTTCCCCCCGTTCATAAAAATGTTGTTTCAGTCTAATTAGAGAGTCTTCAGCTTTCAGTAGCGCTAGTTCCTTATACTCTGCCTTGAGGGCTAGAAGGTCTTATTTTATTTGCATTTAATTATCTTCCATCATCTTCTCCACCATCTCCAACAGGGAGCCGGCTCCGAGAGCTGTTTCTTTAGCGACCGACACATCACTACATCATTCCCTTTCCTAATGTCCTGAAGAACGGTCCGGAGCGCGGGCGGAGTGTTTAGCTAACCTGCAGGAAATGTCAACGACAGTTATCCAGAAAGTAGCTAAGGGTTACCAGAGATGTTTCTGAGATGTTCGCTAGGTACTTTTAAGATTTAAAAAGTCAAGAAGGGGATCTGAGAAGCTGCTAGAAATAGCGTCAAAGTCGCCAAGTTGGGAGGAGCGCTTCATTTGCAACTCAGGGCAGCGCAAGTGGGAGGAGCAAATAATCGCCTTTTTTTGTTTTTTATAATCGTTCAAAACTCAGATCGTAATCGTGATTAAAATTCGATTAATTGAGCAGCCCTAGATGTAGCCTCCAATTATTGCTTCTCTTGCAGTTGTCTTTTAATATATATGTTAGCGTGAGTGGAGCATGATCTGACAAAACCACACTGTCATAGCGAGCATCCTCAATGTTACCAAGTAGGATTGCCAAAATAAGAAAATAATCAATTCTGGAGTGGGTTTTTAGTGTTGCCGCGTAGCAGGAATATTCCCTTTTATTTGGATTTAGTGCTCTCCAGGGATCACATAGATTTAGATCACTAATGTATTGGTGGATTTTTGCCCTGGTTTTGGTGTGAGAGGTATCCACTCCAGATGATCAATCAAGTTTTGGGTCTAAGGTACAGTTAAAATCTCCTGCCAGTATTGTCCCCCCTTGAAGTTTGGTAAGTGACAAGAATAAGTTATCAAAGAACTCCGGGTTTTCATCATTTGGACCATATACATTCACTAAGTTGATTTTATCATTAAAAAAATTACCTTGCACTATCAAGTACCTCCCATTTTTATCATAAGTGGTGTTATTAACTTGAAATGGTATAGATTTATGTATGAGAGTCATGACTCCTCTGAGTGAGACCAGATTCATACATTTGAATTCAACTCCTTTGTTGCAAATTCTGACCAAACCATTTCTGGCCTTGAATTATGGAAGAAACACCAGAGTAAGGCTTATTTTAGATATTGAATGTGAATATGTGGAATTTTGTATTAGATTTTTTTTATTTTTTTACAGCAGCTAAAATTTCATCCTTCGAAATTCAGCAACAAAATTTAAACAAAAGCTTTAAAAGCAAAAATTCTACATCAGAAATTCAACAACAAATGACGTGACCTCCTGCTGACCCGAGCCAAAGCAATTGTCACTCGATCGAGTCGTCACCTGAATTTCTGTAGTAGAATTTTTGCAGAGGAAATTTCTGTTGAAATATTTTAAGTAAAAAAAAAATCAAATATCACAGAATAAAAATTAAATGTCATAAATTCAGTGTCTGAAAAAAGTCTTATTCTGGCAAAACTGTATTTCTTCCATATTAAATCCTCCAGATGGAGCATCAAGGTTAGTACCTTCATTAGAAACCTGCCATATCCATTTCTACTGCCCTCTTGTGGACAATGTATACGTGGCAAATTTTTTTGTTAATTTCTGTTATATTGTTATAGAATTACATAATTAAATTAAGCAGAACATTTTACCGCTGTTAGCCAATAAATGGTTACATTTTAAACATTAGTTTGTTTGTTTTTTATATTTCAGGCTTAAGAGGGTTTTTGTGTTCTTGATAGTTTTCAAAAATAATTAGAATCTGACAAATTAGTCTTCAGCAGGTCAAAGCTGAGCAAGAATCAGAACTTGATGTCATCCCATGAAACCAGAATTAGTGCATTTCTAACTGGTATCCAAAATGGAGCCATTTTAGTAGAAATTCAGTAGAAGCTAATTATTAAAGAATTCCTTAGCAGGAATTATACAAACATCCTTCTGTCCCTGTCACAAAGCAGCGCCGTTGTTAACTGTGAGGAAATGTGTTTGCTGCTGCCTGTTAAAGATTCAAATTCATCTGAATTTAGAAAATCCAGATGGCCTCTAAAGTGATTGGAAGCCAAATAACCATGGATTTACTCAAACGTTGCATTTGCTTGGCTTTAGTGAAACTGTTGCTTCAGAGTTTCAAACCTCGACTTTACAAGAATGTGAAGCGGCTGGGATGAGGATCAGCACCTCCAAATCTGAGACCATGGTTCTCGACCGGAAAAGGGTGGCTTGCCACCTCTGGGTCGGGGGAGAGGTCCTACCTCAAGTGGAGGAGTTTAAGTATCTCGGGGTCTTGTTCACGAGTGAGGGTAGGAGGGATCGGGAGATCGACAGGCGGATTGGTTCGGCGTCTGCAGTGATGCGGACGCTGAGCCGATCTGTCGTGGGGAAGAGGGAGCTGAGCCAGAAAGCCAGGCTCTCGATTTACCGGTCGATCTACGTCCCAATCCTCACCTATGGTCATGAGCTTTGGGTAATGACCGAAAGAACGAGATCGCGGATACAAGCGGCCGAAATGAGTTTCCTCCGTAGGGTGGCCGGGCTCAGCCTTAGAGATAGGGTGAGGAGCTCGGACATTCGGGAGGGACTCGGAGTAGAACCGCTGCTCCTCCGGATCGAAAGGAGCCAGTTGAGGTGGTTTGGGCATCTGGTCAGGATACCTCCTGGACGCCTCCCCGGTGAGGTGTTTCGGGCATGTCCTGCCGGCAGAAGGCCCCCGGGTCGACCCAGGACACGTTGGAGAGGTTACATCTCCAATCTGGTCCGGGAACGCCTTGGGGTCCTGCCGGAGGAGCTGGTGGACAAGGCTGAGGAGAGGACGGCCTGGAGCTCCCTAGTTGGGATGCTGCCCCCGCGACCCGAACCCGGACCCGGATAAGCGGAGGAAGACGAAGACGAAGAGACGAAGACTTTACAAGAACAGAAATGAACGTTAAAATGACAGTAAAATACGTATTCATTTATTTTTATCATTTTAAATATTCCCAACTTCTTATTTTATGAAACCTTTAAACAAAACACGTCCTGATTGGTCTCTTGGAGCTGATTTAATCTACCAGGAAAATTGACATTAGGCCTTGTGATAATTTTTTGAGTGGAGCAGGGGGTTGTTTAACTCGATTATACCATGCTGTGGCTTGGTAATGTGCTTTTTTTTTCCCACAATAAAATCTTCAGACAACAAGAATGAGGATTTTGCACATCAACCATACAAGTAATGATCAACATAGATCTAAGACGGCTGCTCTTTCTCTGACTCACTCTCATGATATTGATTCTTGGCTGTTCAGTATTCTTACTATTACCCCGCCCCCAGACCAACGGAAGGAAGAAAAATAACTTTTAGGTCCTTTCTGACTTGTACTTGACCATATTTCACATGTTGTCCTAACCCCAAGCCCGTGTTTCCTCCTGTTTCTCACAGACTCTGCAGCCTCACGTTGAAAAAGCTGGTTGTCCTGAAAGAACTGGATAAAGAGCTGAACTCCTTGTCTATAGCTGTCAAAATACAGGTAGGTGACTTCTTCTCCATCAGAGCAGAACGATGGGCTAAGTTGCGACACATTCAATGGCATCATATTGCACCTTAAAGTTGGAGCTCCACTATCTTTCACGTCCATGCTGTTTGCTGGTAAACGTAACCACACGGCCTCACTGATATGGCCTGCAGCTAATCCTGCTGCATGATGAAAGCCTCCTTAGCTGCGCTGAGAGCTCTGGTGCCTTACATCCACTCAGATGCTTTAAAAGGAAGACCAGCTTACCACTCTGGGCAGGACAGAAGCACCTGCAGGACGGGTCTTGCATTGAGTGCTTGTGCAAACATGCCACTATATATTTATTTAAGACTCACATGAAATATTGATAACCTATTTTACATTCAGTGCATGAGAGAAACTAGAAAGAAAAGTATGTGTGTGTTAATAACAGATTCTATCAACTCTATTGATGCAGCCACAAGGGAAGAAAATCCAAATTGTAGAAACTTTTATGCTTTTTATTTAAATGAAGCATTTGCTGTAGAAACTAGTTGTGCATGCTTTAAGTGTGACATTTACGTGGTTTTGGTTTGGGGTCAAAACAAAATTTATTTTATTTTCAATCTAAACTAGCGACGGGGGCAGAGGAGTTAAATGTCCACCCCGTAACTAGAGGGGTGCTGGTTCACGTCCTGCTTAGTCTGTCATGCAGTTTTTGTGTCCTTGGGCAAGACACTTGACCCTCTTTGCCTAATGGTGGTGGTCGGAGGGACTGGTGGCGCCTTTGTACAGCAGTCTTAACTCTCAGTGTGTCCCATAGCAGCTGTGGCTACAATGTAGCTCATCACCCCCAGCGTGTGAATGTGTGTTGTAAAGCACCTTGGGGGTCGTAAAACTCTGAAAGGCACTATATTAAAAACAGGTCATTTCTCTTACCAATGTCATAAATTTTCAAGCTATTTTGGGTCTGGGAGATAAAACAGCAGCAATATACATTTTTAAAATACCTTTTCCTCTAAAGACTTGAATATAAATAACAGATAAAGAGCCAATTATAATAAGTGTTGCTTAGCGCTGAATCAGTCAGTAGAAGAAGAAGAAGAAAATATCATTTCTATAGCGCCTCTCAAGATAAAAATCACGAGGCGCTTCAAGACGCAAGATGGTAGCCGTCGGACCGGCTACTAACAGCTAGTGTTTGTATAGCTGTACCCTCTTACTGCCGGTAACCAGTGGGGCATCACAAAAAATGATCGCCATGAAACGGAAAGAAAAGAAAAAGACAGAGTACACAGTGAATGACGTCGTTTGCACGAAGGGACAGAACAGTTCAGTCGGTGGACAGAGTTTAGCTAGTTAGCATCGTAGCTGTGCCGCTAACGATGTTGAGCGAGTGTTTCAACAGAGTCTGTGAAACCATTGATCTGTTATCATTCCTGAACCAGCGTCACCTGCCGGAGCAGCAGGATGTAAAACCGTATAATGCCAAATGAGAGCAATAGAAATGCATTTTCTCTCCGTGCAAAATAAACGTCTCTTATTGTTTAGATTTTTCTAAAGCTACTTAAAGTTTTACTGATATACAGGTCCTTCTCAAAAAATTAGCATATTGTGATAAAGTTCATTATTGTCTGTAATGTACTGATAAACATTACTTTCATACATATTAGATTCATTGCACACAACTGAAGTAGTTCAAGCCTTTTATTGTTTCTAATATTGATGATTTTGGCGTACAGCTCATGAAAACCCAAAATTCCTATCTCAAAAAATTAGCATATTTCATCCGACCAATAAAAGAAAAGTGTTTTTAATACAAAATAAGTCAACCTTCAAATAATTATGTTCAGGTATGCACTCGATACTTGGTCGGGAATCCTTTAGCAGAAATGACTGCTTCAGTGCGGCGTGGCATGGAGGCAATCAGCCTGTGGCACTGCTGAGGTGTTATGGAGGCCCAGGATGCTTCGATAGCGGCCTTAAGCTCATCCAGAGTGTTGGGTCTTGCGTCTCTCAACTTTCTCTTCACAATATCCCACAGGTTCTCTACGGGGTTCAGGTCAGGAGAGTTGGCAGGCCAACTGAGCACAGTAATACCATGGTCAGTAAACCATTTACCAGTGGTGTTGGCACTGTGAGCAGGTGCCAGGTCGTGCTGAAAAATGAAATCTTCATCTCCATAAAGCTTTTCAGCAGATGGAAGCATGAAGTGCTCCAACATCTCCTGATAGCTAGCTGCATTGACCCTGCCCTTGATAAAACACAGTGGACCAACACCAGCAGCTGACATGGCACCCCAGACCATCACTGACTGTGGGTACTTGACACTGGACTTCAGGCATGTTGGCATTTCCCTCTGCCCAGTCTTCCTCCAGACTCTGGCACCTTGATTTCTGAATGACGTGCAAAATTTGCTTTCATCTGAAAAAAGTACTTTGGACCACTGAGCAACAGTCCAGTGCTGCTTCTCTGTAGCCCAGGTCAGGCGCTTCTGCCGCTGTTTCTGGTTCAAAAGTGGCTTGACCTGGGGAATGCGGCACCTGCACACGCCTGTACACGGTGGCTCTGGATGTTTCTACTCCAGACTCAGTCCACAGGTCCCCCAAGGTCTGGAATCGGTCCTTCTCCACAATCTTCCTCAGGGTCCGGTCACCTCTTCTCGTTGTGCAGCGTTTTCTGCCACACTTTTTCCTTCCCACAGACTTCCCACTGAGGTGCCTTGATACAGCACTCTGGGAACAGCCTATTCGTTCAGGAATTTCTTTCTGTGTCTTACCCTCTTGCTTGAGGGTGTCAATGATGGCCTTCTTGACAGCAGTCAGGTCGGCAGTCTTACCCATGATTGCGGTTTTGAGTAATTAACCAGGCTGGGAGTTTTTAAAAGCCTCAGGAATCTTTTGCAGGTGTTTAGAGTTAATTAGTTGATTCAGATGATTAGGTTAATAGCTCGTTTAGAGAACCTTTTCATGATATGCTAATTTTTTGAGATGGGAATTTTGAGTTTTCATGAGCTGTACGCCAAAATCATCAATATTAGAAACAATAAAAGGCTTGAACTACTTCAGTTGTGTGTAATGAATCTAATATACAGGTGCTGGCCAGTAAATTAGAATATCATCAAAAGGTTGAAAATATTTCAGTAATTCCATTCAAAACGTGAAACTTGTACATTATATTCATGCAATGCACACAGACCAATGTATTTCCGATGTTTATTACGTTTAATTTTGATATTTATAGGTGACAACCAATGAAAACATCAAATCTGGTATCTCAGAAAATTAGAATATTCTAAAGGCCAATGAAAAAATGTTTGTTTCTCTAATGTTGGCCAACTGAAAAGAATGAACATGAAAAGAATGTGCATGTATAGCACTCAATACTTAGTCGGGGCTCCTTTTGCCTCAATAACTGCAGTAATGCGGCGTGGCATGGACTCGATCAGTCTGTGGCACTGCTCAGGTGTTATGAGAGCCCAGGTTGCTCTGATAGTCGTCTTCAGCTCCTCTGCATTGTTGGGTCTAGCGTATTGCATCCTCCGCTTCACAATACCCCATAGATTTTCTATGGGGTTAAGGTCAGGCGAGTTTGCTGGCCAATCAAGGACAGGGATACCATGGTCCTTGAACCAGGTGCTGGTGGTTTTGGCACTGTGTGCAGGTGCCAAGTCCTGTTGAAAGGTGAAGTCTGCATCCCCATAAAGTTGGTCAGCAGCAGGAAGCATGAAGTGCTCTAAAACTTCCTGGTAGACGGCTGCATTGACCCTGGACCTCAGGAAACAGAGTGGGCCAACACCGGCAGATGACATGGCACCCCACACCATCACTGACGGTGGAAACTTTACACTGGACCTCATGCAACGTGGATTCTGTGCTTCTCCGCTCTTCCTCCAGACTCTGGGTCCTTGATTTCCAAAGGAAATGCAGAACTTGCTTTCATCAGAAAACATAACTTTGGACCACTCAGCATCAGTCCAGTCCTTTTTGTCCTTGGCCCAGGCGAGACGCTTCTTGCGCTGTTTCTTGTTCAAGAGTGGCTTGACACACGGAATGCGACACCTGAATCCCATGTCTTTCATGAGTCTCCTCGTGGTGGTTCTTGAAGCGCTGACTCCAGCTGCAGTCCACTCTTTGTGGATCTCCCCCACATTTTTGAATGGGTTTGTCGTCACAATTCTCTGCAGGGTGCGGTTATCCCTAGAGCTTGTACACTTTTTTCTACCACATTTTTTCCGTCCCTTCGCCTGTCTGTTAATGTGCTTGGACACAGAGCTCTGCGAACAGCCAGCTTCTTTAGCAATCACCTTTTGTGTCTTGCCCTCCTTGTGCAAGGTGTCAATGATTGTCTTTTGGACAGCTGTTAAGTCAGAAGTCTTCCCCATGATTGTGGTGCCTTCAAAACAAGACTGAGGGACCTTTTAAAGGCCTTTGCAGGTGTTTTGAGTAAATCAGCTGATTAGAGTGGCAGCAGGTGTCTTCTATATTCAGCCTTTTCAGAATATTCTAATTTTTTGAGATACCAAATTTGGAGTTTTCATTAGTTGTCACTTATGAATATCAAATTTAAATGTAATGAACATTGGAAATACATTGGTCTGTGTGCATTGCATGAATATAATGTACAAGTTTCACGTTTTGAATGGAATTACTGAAATATTTTCAACCTTTTGATGATATTCTAATTTACTGGCCAGCACCTGTATATGAAAGTAATGTTTATCAGTACATTACAGACAATAATGAACTTTATCACAATATGCTAACTTTTTTAGAAGGACCTGTAAAACATTTTTATTTAGTTGAAGATTTTTGTTTAAAGTAAAACTTTTTGTCCAAGACAGTTACACAATGTTTGATGACAAGTTTTAATAATAATTTTTTAAAATAAAAATATCCTAAGCATCTCTCCAAATCTCACTTACCAGAGAGCATTAAAGATTCAATAATATTGATTTGTTTTATATCATGATATATATTGAAATCGACCGATACGAAAATAATATTGTGATAGAATTTCTTCCATATAGCCCAACT